CCCAATGGTTAGAGCACGCCGCTTCAGGACCACCTCCAGCCCTGACCTGACTCCTGTTTCCCCTGCGCTTCCCACCTCGGCACGAACCCAGGTCCTACAGAAGCCCCTTCCCACACAGCCTCTTACTGAGACACCCCATCTGGTGTACACCTGCCCTTGCTGCAGTAAGTGAATAAAACCAACACTGACTGGGCGAACCTGGAGGTCTTTACCCCGAACGGTTAGCAGACCCCAGTGTTTTGTAGAGTAAAGTTGGAGAAAAGCTGGACAAAACGATGACTTCCTACAGTGAAGTTCCTCGAATCTGAAGCTGAAGTGTCGCATCCCACCTGAAATGTCCTGTGTGCTCGTTGGAAAACAGTGCGCGGTCAATGAAAGGGTTGAGGACCGTCAACTAGTTTAAAATTTTGTCAAATACTTTAGAAATAGTGAGTGGGTATTCTTTTCATTAGTTGTCTCTTGTCTGTCCGGTCCTTCCTGCTGCTGACATTTTTGGCTGAATATTTGTGCTACAGACCCTCTTGGCTTGACTGGGGGCTTCATACTCACCCCTCCTACCCGGGGCTTTTTTCAGACAACACTCGGATGTCCAGAGAAAGAGCAGAGTGGTTCTAGGCAAACACGTCCACGTCCACACCTGAGTCACAGGGAGAGTGTACGCAAAGGTGATTCGCAAAATCGGGCTTGCGCCTTGGAAAGCTCATTGCAGAAGTCGAGGATGGAGCAGAGGCAGAGATCAGGCTGGAGGCTGGTCCATCAATCCCAGCTTGAGGTGATGAGACCTGAACTCAGGTGACAGCTCGGGGTGGGCGGGGGGGTAGCAGTTTCAGGACTCAGTGGCCTATTAGACCAGATGCTGGTGTCCATTGTGACAGCACCAAAGTTTCGTTGTTCTTTTCCCATACTTTTTCTGCTTTTGGTAAAATGGTCATTTATGTTTTCTCTGATCTTAGGTTAATGGGGTGAACTACATTGATTAATTTTTTTTAATTGAGGTGAAAGTCACATTCGGTTAACCCTTTTGTTAGTTTGCAGCACCATTTATTATCTGGTCATAGTATTTGGGTATATTACTAGACATAGATTTAACACCGTTGTGACTTCTCTTGAGACAGAACAACCCCAAAAGAAAAGTTCAAAATGTGCAAGAGCGATAAATACCAAACTTTCTGATCTACAAATGTGCACATATAAAATGCCAGCCATGTCTGGAATCATCCAGCGACCACATGTTCACGGCTAGGTGTCTGGTGTTGGCAGTGCTGATTGTCGGAACATGTCACATGCGTTGGCCCCAATTATTTTTATGTCATTTACCAAACATGTTTGCAGAGACGGGACAGCCTGGGGTCCCTGGGGGGTGAAAGCCCTTCGTTTTACAAGCAGGAACCCCAAGCCGCTGGCTGCTCTGGTGAGCCTGAAGTCGTCACTGTCTTCATGCTTTGGTGACAATCAAATGTCAACAGCCTCTGGCAACCAGGGCGGGACAAGACTGCAGCTTGGGTCGAATGTGTCTGGATCCATCCTGTTGACCCTAAACATGGAATTTTCTTCCATTTTCTCCATTTCTTCCATTTTCTCCATGTCGCAATCATCTGGTCCCGCAGACTGCTCCGGCATGACCACGTGGATAGCAGTAAATTCATCTTGTGTCCGTTTCCACAGGTTTCCATTCCTCTTGCTGCATTAGATCTGCCAGCTGCAGCGTGTGTGGCCAAGATCTCGTGATAAAACTGCACATCACAGCCCTGAGTGTGCAGCACTCAGTTAAGCAGCTGCTCTAAGGCCCTGTTTGGGGGAGGAGACTGAGTAGTGTAATTGATCGCATCACTTCTATTGGGCTGATCTGCAGATACATTCAGCAAGGAGTTGTTCTGGTGTGGGCGAAAGCAGGACAAAGCAGTCCCATGAATCTGCTCTCAGAGAGCGGGGTCGGGGGAGTGGGGGGCTTGGGCTCCCCTTGTAACCTCGGGCTAATTCTTGCTTCTTGAGTTGATCTTCAAAAACCACAAACTGCTCCCATTCGAGCTTCTGCTGGCACATCTGAGCAGTTTGCTTCCTTTCTGTCTCTGTCAATCTCAGAGGTGTCAGTTTTTCGGAAAATTTCAGCTTTTTCTATTTGTTTTGCTTTGCAAATATTCTTGATGTTCCATGTTATATTTCTTTAAAAGGTCCCTTTTCAATTCATCTGTCCTTGGGAATGCAATCTCCTTCAGTTTCTTCATAATATCCTGCTTCTCAGGTACTCCACAGTTGCTGGTAATTTTAATACCTGGGAAGCCTTCCTACAAACAAGATAATAAATTGATTACAAAGAACAAAGGCATTTGCCAAGTTTCCTTCCTTCAAATACACAAATGCCATCCTCTCCACCTCTATTCCAGATATCAAGTAGTGGCCCCTCCCAACAGACATGGAAAACAAACTTAACGTTACCAAAGGGGAAGGAAGGGAGGGGATAAATTAGGAGATTGGGATTGACGTGTACGCACTACTATATATAAAACAGATAACTAATAAGGACCTACTGTAGAGCACAGGGAACTATACTCAACGTTTTGTAATAACCTATAATGGAAAAGAATCTGAAACAGGATAGATATATATATGTATGTATGTATTACTGAATCACTTTGCTGTACACCTGAAACTAATACAATATTGTAAATCAACTATACTCCAATAAAAAAAAATAATTACCAAAAAAAAGTAGTGGCCTGGAGCGATATTTTCTTTGATGGTAACATTACAACCAAGGTTGCTCAGAACATGGACTCACTCTTCTGGGCTGAGGGAAACATCTTATTGTGAGGCATACATAGCAGCTACTTCTTCCCCAGAATTCACAGAAAATTTCTGATCCATGTTGTCCTGTCTAAAAAATGAAGGTGTTCACTGTTTCTTCTCAATTATGTCATCATATTACTTCAATCTAATTAGAGATCTAGTGGGCCATAAGAGCTAGATAACCCATTTATTAGAAAAGGATGTAACTCAGGAACAGGCAGATGGAAGAGATGCTTCAGGCGAGGGATGTGGGAAGGGGCTCAGAGCTCCCCTGCCCTTTCCACACGCTACGCTCCCAGCACCTCAACGTGCTCACCAACCTGGAAGCTCCAAAATTAACCTTTTTAAAGTGAACATTTCAGTGGCATTTAGTACATTCACATTACTGTGCAACATCCCTTGTATCCAGTTCTGGAACATTCCACTGCTCCAAAAGAGAACTCTGGACCCATTAGGCAGTTACTTCCTATCCTCCCTGCCCCCATCTCCTGGCCATTGCCAGCCTGTTTTCTGTTTCTATGGAATTACCAATTCTGAATATTTCACATAAATGGGGGTCCTACCTATGTGACCTTCTGTGTCTGACCTCTTTCACTGAGCATAATACTTTCAAGGCTCATTCATGTTGGAGCATGTACAGCATTTCATTTATTTTAATGGCTGAATGATATTCCGTTGAATGTATATACCATAATTTGTTCATCCATTCATCAGCTGATGGACACTTGAGTTGTTTCCACCTCTTGGCTATTGTGAATAGTGCTACTCTGAATATGTGTGTACATGTAATTATTTGAGTACCTGTTTTGAATTCTCTCGGGTATAGACCTAGGAGTGGAGTTGCTGGGTTATGTGATAATTCTATGTTTAAATTTTTGAGGAACTGCCAAACTATTTTCCACAGATGTGGAACCATTTGACAGTCCATAGCAATGTACGAGGGCTCCAATTTCTCCACGTCCTTGCCAACACTTGTTATTCTCTGTTTTTTTTCATTACTGTAGCAGGCCCCGTGGATGTGAAAAAAACTGAAGTTTTGTGCCGTGTCTGCACAATTGCAAACACCTGGGACGTCCAAGTAGTGCTGGATCCCCCAGCTGAGCCAAAGCTGCACTATATTCTCAAGTTTCCCACATCTGTTCTGGGTCACACTCTGGGCAACAAAGCTTTGTGTCACATAGAAAGTCGTTCAGCCTCAACACATAAATTCAAATGTGAATCCACGGGGCCAAGTCAAGGGACCAATATCTGAAGCAGATCCTGCGCTGCCACCTCTGGCCTGTTCTTTCCATTCTGATCTTTTATTCTCCAGGTAAATCCTCTTGATGCACCACTGATTCTCCAGGTATGCTGGGATGCACTCCTCAGATAAGCTGGGGTATGGTTGCACCCCGGCTTTTGTTCAGCCCAGGGATCTCTGCTCTGTAGGTTTCTTGTTAGGGTGGAAAGTAGTGCCAATCACAGCTGATACAGGAGGACAAATTGCTTTGGGAACCAGAGCCTTTGGTTCCTTTGACTGTAAAGATGCTGCGTGACATCAAAGAAGGAACGTCTTAGAGGTAGCTACTACCTGTATCCCAGGCATAGGGTAGAAATATGGGATGGAGAGAGAGAGAGAGAGAGAGAGAGAGAGAGAGAACCAGCTCATTGGTGAAGGGGTAGTGGCTGAAGCCATGAGATCAGGTAACGTGTAATGGAACATGTGTCAGTTGGTGAAGAACTGGAATGAAATGTCCTGGTGTGATGTTTGGAGTATTCCTTTAATTTTAGTTACACTATCAGGAGGGAGGCTGGCTTGCGTGCTGAGCTGGTCAGGGCAGCTCTAAGTCACACATTGCTGATGAGTGAGCACCTCTGTTATAAATGGAAATGTGAACTGTCAAGCGCTCCTAGGCTGAAACTACGTGCTACACAGGATCGCCTGTTTTCCTTATTGATTGCAAATAGATGCAGGGAATAAAAAGCTGGTGTGTTTTCCAAAAACACGACTGAGAGTTTTTTTTTAAACTGAAGTGGGTGTGATTTAGACATTTCATGATTTCTCTGACACCAGAAACATCCTTTGGTGGGGTTCTAATTTCTTATGGAAGTTTGGTTCCAGAAGCTATTTAAGAGCCTAAAGGAAAGACATCAAGTGGATAAGATGTATCTTAAAATATTGAAAGTGGCAATTTCCTAGGTCCTCAGTTCTTCCCTTTCTGGTCTCTCCCCAGGGATCTGCTACCACACTTGGCGGTTTAAGTCAGCCTCTATCTACAGTTGACCGTGGTCTGACCTCACTCTCTGGAATGCTCTGCCTGCCTCTGATTTTCACGGCATGTCAACATGCACTCCGATGGCATTCCTGACGATGGCATTCCTGACGGGGGATCTCTTTCTCCCGAGCTCTTGAAAGAATCCTGCTTCAGCGACTCCCAGGGAATGGTGGGAGAGGTGTTTTTTAAAAAGAGATTTGTCACACACCAAGGACAGCAGTCATTTACTTTGCACCCTTTTATGCATGGACTATTTGCATGGTAGGCTGTTCATTTCCATTCTCCTATTCTCCCAATCCATGAACATAGTATAGATTCTGAGGTCTTCTTGACCCAGGTCTGAAATTTCTCATGAACACATAGCCCAATGCATTACACCCCCCAGGGATTCTTATCACATTAGCCTGTGTATTTCCTTCAGAGCAGTTATCACAACCTGAAATTATCTTGTTTGTTTATTTGTTTACATGTTTACTGTCTATCTGCTCCATCTAGAAGGTAAGCTCCATGAGAGCAGGGTCTTCTCCCAGCATCTAGAGCAATGCTTGACCCCATAGTATGAGCTCATGAAATATTTGTTGAATGACTGACTTACAGAATCAATAATTTTAAAATCATATAAAACTTATTAATTAAATTTATAAATTAAAGTTAAACTTTCCATTAACTCATCATCAGTATCTTTTCTTGTCTCTCTTAAACAATGATATTGTCCAAATTTAATTGGTATTATGACCAAATGTCAATTAACTATATTAGTGGCTCTCAAATTTTTGGATTCCCTTGACACTCAACAATTATTGAGGGCTCCAAAGGGCTATTGTTTGTGTGGGTTTTATCTATCATTATTTGGTGCAATAGAAATGAAAACTGAGAAGAGTTCAAAATATTTATTAATTCATTCATTACAAAATAATAAACCCATCATATATTGACATTAGTACCATATTTTTTTCTGTTTCCAAAACAAACAAAAAATGGGGAAGAGGGGCTTTGTTCTACATTTTTACAAATCTCTTTAATGTCTGGCTTAATAGAAGACAGCTGGATTATCATAGCTGCTTCTGCATTCAGCGTGTGGTGACATCACATATCGTGTAGCCTTCAGCAAACCCCACTGTGCACTTATGAGAGAACAAGAGTGAAAACGGTGAGTCATTCCTTGGTATTATTCTGAAAATAGTTTTGAGTTCACAGGTGCCTCAAGAGATTCTTGAGTGGCCCCAGGGATCCTTGAAGCACATTTTGAGAACAAATGAACAATATTCATGGAAAGGAATACTTTTCTTTGCCTCAAAACCCCTGAGTTTTCCTATTTGCTTAAATAAATAAATAAAACATTTAAAGTGTCTTTTTTAAAAAGTTACAAAATCCAAGTCAGATTTATTTCTATGGATTTCCATTTTCATGGAATATCCTTTTCCTTGCCCTCACTATCAGTCTGTACGTGTCCCTAGATCAGAAGTGGGCCATATACGGGTCTTGTTTTTGTATCCATTCAGCCAGTCTGTGTCTTTTGGTTGGAGCATTTAATCCATTTACATTTAAGGTAATTATCGATGTGTATGTTCTTGGTGCCGTGTGTCGATTGTTTGGGATTTGTTTTTGTAGGTTGGATTTATTTCTATAATGAAAGGATGGTTTCACATTCAAAGATCAGTGAATACACTTAATGCAATTTTAACATATTAACGGACAGAGTAGGGGAACATAATCCTCTCGATAGATCTTCTGGTCGATTGATAATTTCCAATTCATTCAGGATACAAATTCTCAGCTAGCTAGGAATAGAAGGGAATTTCCTTAACCTAATAGAAAGTACCTACCAAAAACTTCCAACAAATAGCATACTTACAGTATAAACATGGCAAGAATTTCCTAGGAGTCAGGCCTGCATGCCCTGGGCATAGCATGAAGCATTTCCTCTAAATTCTGCTTTAGCTTCAGCCCAGCCATTTCGATACGTATTCTTGTCATCCTGCTCGTGTCAAAACATGTTCTAATTTCCATTATGGTCATATATATGCATGCATGTGTATACATGTACATAAATATTTAAAGGAATGCTAAAAATTTTACTTTTTTAGTATTTATATATGTATATATATATATTTTAGGAATACTGAAAAATTTCTAAGCATGTCAAGTTTTTATTTGTTGTTGCTATCTTTAAAGTGGATTTCAAATTTTACAGAGAATATGATAATGTCATGTTCATTTGGGGGTCGCTTGGTTTTCTTCTAGCTTAATGCATCTGTGTATGTGTGTGCGCGCGTGTGTGTATGTGTGTGTGTGTGTGTGTGTGTGTGGCCTGGTCAATTCTGGTAAATGTTTTATAGCATTTAAAAATAATCTGAGTGCACTAATTGTTGGGTCCAGAGATCTCTCCATATGTTCATCAGATCAATCTTTGAAATTGCTCAAACCTTGTATTTTCTTGCTAATATTTTGGGTTGCTTGATCCGACAAATACTAGGAGACAGGATGTGAAAAAATCACTTGCTATGGCTGTAAATTGTCATCACATTCCATTTAGCATTACCAGGTATCTGTCGCCCAAAGGACTTGTGGACATCTAGTCTGTCACATTGGGGAAAGTAGAAGTCTCTTTTCTCCCTGCTTGATTATAAGAGAGATTTTTGGGGGAGAATAGATAATATATGCACATGGTTCCGAATTTAAAAGTACAGAAAGACATGTAGAACCCCAGTCTCTCTCCCTGGGGGCATCTAGTCTTACCCATTTCTTGTGAATCCTTCCAGAGATTGCCTGTCTGTCTGCCTTTCTCCATGTCTAACATAGTCATTACCACTTACAGTATAGATGGTTCTCTGCCTTGTTTATATTTTTTATTACTTTAAAAAACTTTTATTTTTTTATATTAATTTTATTCTATTTTATTTATTTATTTGGTTGCACCGGGTCTTAGTTGAGGCTCGCAGGCTCCTTAGTTGTGACATGCGAACTCTTAGCTGCAGTATGTGGGACCTAGTTCCCTGACCAGGGATGGAACCCGGGCCCCCTGCATTGAGAGCGTGGAATCTTAACCACTGCACCACCAGGGAAGTCCCTCTACCTTGTTTTTAATCCTTTAGGGATGTTCAGTGAAAAAAATCTCACCGTATTTGCCTCATCTTTTGAATGGCTGCTTTTTCCATTGTGAGAAAAAAATATATTTTTATATATTATATACGTTATTATATGTCTTGTATCTTATATGTTTTTTTTTTTTTTTTTTTTTTTTTTTTTTGCGGTACGCAGGCCTCTCACTGTTGTGGCCTCTCCGGTTGCGGAGCACAGGCTCCGGACGCGCAGGCCCAGCGGCCATGGCTCACAGGCCCAGCTGCTCCGCGGCACGTGGGATCTTCCCGGACCGGGGCACAAACCCGCGTCCCCTGCATCGACAGGCGGACTCTCAACCACTGCGCCACCAGGGAAGCCCCTTATATGTATTATTTAACTATCTCCCATTAACGGCTCTTTGTAGTGTTTCTAATGAATATTCTTGCACCTACGTCATTCCTGTGTGTATCTGGAGAAAGCATTTCTATGATATGAGCATATCAAAGGCATGAACATCTTAAGGTTTTCTGGACGACTGGCCAATTGTCTCAACATCATTTATTGGGTAGTTCATTTTCCCCTCATCTATTTGAAATGCTGTCTTTATTGTAAGTGAAATTTCTATATGTTTGAGTCTATTTTGATATTTTTCTATTCTGAGCCCCTAATATGTGTGTTTGTGTGTGTTTGTGTGTGTTTGTGTGTGGGTATCGATGGGCCGTGCTTGGTAATAAATTAATATCTGGAGTAGCAGTCCCCCCTCATTATTTGCTAGACTATTGTTAATTTTTCCAAACGAGCCTTAGAATTAGTTTGTTTACTTTTGCAAAACAAAATCAAAACATAAAACTATCAAACTTTGTGGGTTTTATTAGTTAAGTTTAGGAATTTATTTAGGGGTCATCAACACTGCTGTGATGCTGCAGAACAATGAGACGCTTTCCATTTGTTCAAAGCTGCCGTGGGGCCCTTCAGGGGTGTTTCTAGTTTTCTCCATGTGGATCTGTCGTGCTTCTTGTTAAATTGATCTGCAGGTCCTTCATGTCTTTGTCACGCAGCTTCATACATTTTCAGGCCATGTGGTTAAGGATGTACCAGTACAGAATTATTACCTCTTCTCTTTTTTTTTGCTCTTTTATCATTATGTAATATATCTCTATTTCTAATACTATCTTTTTGTCTTAACTACTGTATTTTTCTCCAATATTAATAGAGCTGTATTAGGTTTTTTTTGACTAGTATTTACCTAATATATCTTTTTCCCATTTTTGGCTTTCAACTTTTTAGTGTTATTTTTAGGTATACCTCTTTTTTATTGAGATGTAATTGAGATATAACATATATTTTTATTTATTTTATTTTTTTATCAACGTATAGTTGATTTACAATGTTGTGTTAATTTCTGCTGTACAGCAAAGTGACTCAGTTACACACACACACACACACACACACACACACACACACACTATATACTGATATATATATGTACATTCTTTTTCATGTTCTTTTCCACTATGGTTTATCCCAGGATACTGAATATAGTTCCCTGTGCTCTACAGTAGGGCCTTGTTGTTTATCCATCCTCTATATAATAGTTTAGCATCTGTTAATCCCAAACTCCCACTCCATCCCTCCCCCAACCCCCTCCCCCTTGGCAACCACAAGTCTGTTTCTCTCTGTCTGTGAGTCTGTTTCTGTTTTGTAGATACGTTCATTTGTGTCATATTTTAGATTCCACATGTAAGTGATATCATATGATATTTGTCTTTCTCTGTCTGACTTACTTCACTTAGTCTGATCATCTCTAGGTCTATATCCACATTATATTAGTTTCAAGTATACAGCATGATTTGATATTTGTATATATTACAAAATGATCACCACAGTAGGTCTAGTTAACATCCATCACCACACAGAGTCACAAAATTTTTTCTGTGTGTGATGAGAACTTTTAAGACCTACTTTCTTAGCAACTTCCAAATGTGCACTAGAGCGCTGTTAATTATAATGGCCATGCTGGACAGTACACTCCGCATTTATCTTATAACTGGAAGTTTGTACCTCTTGATTCCCTCTATCCATTTTGCCTGGTTGGGCAACCACCAGTCTGTGCTCTGTATCGATGAGTGTTTTGTTTTTGTTTTTTTTAGATTCCACATATAGTGACATCATACAGCATTTATCTTTTTCTGTCTGACTTTTTTCACTCAGCATAATGCCCTAAGGGTCCATCCATGTTGTAGCAAATGGAAAGATTTTCTTCCTTTTTATGGTTAAATAATATTCCTTGTTTTCCTCTTTTAAAAAAATTTTAAATTGAAGTATAGTTGATGTGCAGTAATGTTATATAAGTTATAGGTGCACAATATAGTGTTTCACAATTTTTAAAGGTTATACTCCATTTCTAGTTATTATAAAATATTGGCTCTATTCCCTGTGTTGTACAATATATTCTTATAGCTTATTTTATACCTAATAGTTTGTACCTCTTTATCCCCTATCCCTATCTTGCCCCTCCCCCCTTCAGTCTCCCCACTGGTAACCACTAGTTTGTTCTCTATATCTGTGAGTCTGTTTCTTTTTTGTTATACTCACTAGTTTGCTGCATTTTTTTAGATTCCACACATAAGTGGTATCATACAGTATTTGTCTTTCTCTGTTAATATTCCTTATTTTCTTTATCCACCTCCATGGATAGATTCTTAGGTTGCTTCCATGTCTTGGCTATTGTAAATAATGCTGCAATGACCATGGGGGTGCAGATATCTCTTCAAGGTAGTGTCCTCATTTCCTTTGGATGTACACTCAGAAGTGTAATTGCTGGATCATAAGGTAGTTTTATTTTTAATTTCTTGAGGAAGCTCCATATTGTTTTCCATAGTGGCTGCACCACTTCACCCCACAGATAACATGATTCTGGGACTATTTAAAAGGTTAATCGATCAGTTCAAGAGTTCCCAGACAACCCAGCTACTATACATTTGAGGCCCAAATCCACTTGAGGCTGGAGGTTTCAGGGGAAATTTTCTATTTTACCTAGAACTCAGAGGAAGACAAGCATTGTCTTTCTGAGCTAATGGATAGTTTCTCTCCCTTTTACAGTGCGGGTAGACCTTCAAAGACCTCGCTTTTATGCAGGGGTCTTAGTTTCAGTTCCCTGCCTCATGTAGGTCTGAGGCTTCACCTCCCATTTCTGTGTAGGCTATGCAATCTAAGCCCGCTGTTTACCGGGTCTAAAAGCCTGTCTCTCCCTGCATCAGCTCGCCCCCTTCCAGGTCTGCTCTTTCTGTTTGTACTTTTTTTTTTTTTTTCCTTCGGTATGCGGGCCTCTCACTGCTGTGGCCTCTCCCATTGCAGAGCACAGGCTCCGGACGCGCAGGCTCAGCGGCCATGGCTCACGGGCCCAGCCACTCCGCAGCATGTGGGATATTCCCGGACCGGGGCACGAACCCGTGTCCCCTGCATCGGCAGGCGGACTCTCAACCACTGTGCCACCAGGGAAGCCCTGTTTGTACTTTTTATTTGCCATGTTTGCCTGTGTCATGTTTTGGCTCCTGAGGTTTCCCTGTCCTTATTGAGAACTTAGTCATACATTAAAAACTTTGTTATATGGGATCCAAAATTTCTGGGTGATGATAATCAGAAACTTTCCCTTTTATCGTAAACTTCCATCTCAATAGTTACTCATCCATCCAGCCATTCATTCATTTATTCATGTGCCTAATACGTGCCAGGCACTGGCGGTACAAAGATGACAAGAATACATAAAACCCCAGGGGTTAAGAATCTGCCTGCCAAAGCAGGGGACACAGGTTCGAGCCCTGGTCCGGGAAGATCCCACATGCTGCGGAGCAACTAAGCCCGTGCGCCCCAACTACTGAGCCTGCACTCTAGAGCCCGCGAGTCACAACTACTGAAGCCTGCGCACCTAGCACCCGTGCTCCACAACAAGAGAAGCCACCGCAATGAGAAGCCCACGCACCACAACAAAGAGTAGCCCCTGCTCGCCTCAACTAGAGAAAACCCACGCGCAGTAAAACAAAGACCCAATGCAGCCAAAAAATAAATTTAAAAAACCCCAAAAAACCCAGCGTCACCACACACACACACACACACACACACACACACACACACACACGGTCACTATATTAGTTGATGGCTGTGTTAATTAGCTTGATTGTTTAATCATTATATAAGGCATACTTACAGCAAAACATCACATTGTACACCTTAAAAATATGCAATTTTTAAATTTGTCAATCATACCTCAATGCAGCTGGGGAAAAAGAGACCATAGAAGCTTGAGTTGACGACGAAAACTTTTCGGAGGGGGCGGAACTTAAGGTGAATCGTGAAGATTAAGGGAAAAGAGACTGAGGTGTATTGAGCGCTCACTGTGGCCGGCGCTGTTCTAGGTGCCGAGGTACAAAATGCGAGAGAAGCTCTACCTTTAAGGACTTTCTAAATGAGAAGAGCCAGAGATGGTTGAGGAAATAGGTCCTGGCAGTGTGGCATGGGCCATGTGCTCCAGTGGGGAGGCATAGACTGCCAGGGGAGCAGAGAAGAGGTCTTCAAGGAGATGTTTAAGTTGAATTTTGAAAAATGAGTGGCCATTTGCAGGATGAAGCCATAATGAAAGAGACTAACAGTTTTGACTGCATACAATTGAAAATTTACATATGAAAATAATAATGGTTGATATTTATTGAGCATTTACTATGTGCCAGCTATAGGTTTTTCAGCATTGTGCTTTATCAGGTTGAGGATGCTCTACTTGGGTCAGTTTTAGAAGCTCATCAACTTAGATAGAAAGGGCTGATCATCAGAATAGTGTCCTCCAATAGAGAACAGAATTGTGGTTGCCAAGGGAGAGAGGGGGTGGGGGAGGGACGGATTTGGAGTTGGGATTAGCAGATGCAAACTATTATATATAGGATGGATAAACAACAAGGTTCTACTGTAGAGCACAGGAAACTAGATTCAATATCCTGAGATAAACCATAATGGAAAAGAATATGAAAAAGGACGTATGTATATTATAAGTGAATCACTTTGCTGTCCAGCAGAAATTAGCCCAGCATTGTAAATCAACTCTACTTTAATAAAATAAATTTAAAAAGAAGAGAATAGTGTCCTTCACCAGAATGCAGCAAAGCACTAACAAATTAGTGGTCTAGTGTGTAAGAGACTGCTGAAATGTATTAAGACATCACAGATACATCTGTTTTGCCAAGGACTCAAAGAGCAGCCTGAACTTTTATGATTTGCTGGATTCATGGGCAGATGATGGGCTGCCTTTCTGCTAATTAGATTATTTTACCCACCAAATCGTCGTGGAGAAATCCTGGGAAGAGCAGTAGCGTATGCACACAGTACTATTTGCCTAGAGGCAAAGGTAAGCTCAACAGAGAAGGAGAGTGGGAGACCATGACCAACTTCATTTCCACAAAGAGTTGGATGCCGGGTGACCTCTTAAACCAGCTATTGCTGTCTGCACCAGGATATCATCGTAGACCTTGGAGCGACTGCGTGTCCGTGGATTATGTTGTATTAATACAGCAGTGGGTTCGCTTTGTGAAAGAGGGGGGGCAGAGTAAAAGGGAGAAGACATCTGTTACTTCTAGTGAGTTAAGCCTTCTAAAAATTATTTCCTTTTTAGTGACCACTTGTTCTTCTGACCCTTTGATCTTTTACTCTGGATATAGGGCCTTTTCAACTCCCCCACTTTTTCCTCCCTGTGTTTGTAAAATGGTGATAATGCCTGAACCACAGAAAGAGAGACTTCACTTTGCATCCACATGCTTTTGGAGATGAGAGGTTGTGGGGATAAAGGAAGAAACCTTCTGATTCTTCTTGCAAAGACAGAAGCACTTCATTCGCAAAAATTGTGTTCATTCCATTGATTCTCAGGAAACACTCTTGAAGCTCCGCGATCAAGTCCGACGTATTTAGTGATTCAGTGAACAGCTGACTGATCAGCATGAGAGAAAAGATCCTCTCAGGAACCAGCCAACTTTGCAATCGATTTCGCCTTCGTCAGGCTGACGTTGGGACTGGGCAGAGAAGACCCCGTGAGGTTTTGAAATGTCTTCGTGAGTATGGAGTCTTGGGACCGTCAGTGGCTTTCCAGGGGACTGTGCTGTGAAGGTCACTGGGCCGACGTCTGCTATGATGTCAGGAGATGCACGCTCTTGATTTTAAGATGATGCTTCTCTGTTTTCCTCTATCTCTTCCTCTTCCTCTCTCCTCCCTTCCTTCCCCCCTTTCTCCTCTTCCTTCTCCTCTTTTTCTTTCTTCTTCTTTTAAATAAGAGTTCCCCCTCCCTCTTCATTTCTAAGGATAAATTATGCTCACCGTGGAAAGCAACAACACGGTATGGCTATTGCTCCAGGATACAGCTTGAGTTAGAAATCTGGTCCCATTGTTGACGAGCTGTCAGCTTGCAGAAGTCACTCATCTGCTCCACCCCAGTTATCCGGGTGTTAATGGTGTACTCAGGCTAGTTACAGCCCAGAGCTGATGTCATATGGATTTCACCAGATGTTCATGTTCACACATATGTGCCAGGCACACAGCGAGAGCTCCAAATATTGTGCTATTAATTAAAAATCCAAAAAACACAGACAACTAAAGCTACCTGTAATTCGATGGCTGGGAAATACATTTTACCTGCAGGTACACTTTTACCGTCTAAGGTTTTCAGATGAAGGTCAGCCAAATGAGTTAATGAATATTTATTTAGCCAGACACTCTGCTATGTAGTTACAGCTTAGTCAACGTTCTCTGACTTTCTCCTGAGCTAATCATCTTTCTAGTAGTCACTCATTCATCACACTCTTTCAAAGGTATTTTTAGCACTTTTTGTGTACCAGATGCTACTCTAAGTATTGGAGACACAACAGGGATCAAAGCAAAAACTTGGCTCTGGTGAAACTTACATTTCTGTGTGTGTGAGAGAGAAAAAGGGGGGAGAGACTAAACAAACTAGCAAAATGTATATAATAGGTCATACGGTGGTAAATATGGAGTAATTGTGTGTAGGATAGGCTTCGTGTTGGAGGTGGGTGGAAGGTTGCATTTGGAATAAGACAGTCAGCTGGCGTGTGAGCACGGACCAAAGGAGCTGGGGCTCGAGCCCTGAGGCTGGGGGGGTAGCTCAGCGTTTCAGGTGGACGGAACAGCCAGCACCGAGGAGTATCTGCCTCGTTTGAGCAGCAGCAAGGACGACGACGATGTGGCCGGAGGGTGTGCAGGCGGGAAAGCAGAGGGCTGAGATGAGAGGGCCGTGCAGGCCGCTGTGAGCCTTCTCTGCCCCATTTCCAACCTCACTGGCCTGAGACCTGCTTTGACCAGTGAAACGCGAGAGGAACCGATATGGGTCTTTCCTCTACAGAAGCTTCAGGACCTAAAACTTCTGTCCCGCTGCCAGGATGTTCTAGAAAGAGGCCACTTTTAAAAACTGAGATCTGGTGTGAAGATAATATGGAACCATATTTCGGGCCACCTGGTAGATTTGTAGTGTGAGTGAGAAATAAACTTTCATATGGCTCTTTTTCCAGGCTGTTTCTGGATTGGGCTTGTCCTGAAGTTGCATTTGCAAAGCACTTTGTATAGCATTTTTAAAAGTTATATTGTCTGTACCCAAAAACGAAGTGGGGAGAAGCTCCTGGAATCAGTGGGCCCTCCCCTTGCCCCTCCCCTGCTTTCTGCAGCCAAGCCTGGGGGGTCATAGCCTCCATTACGTCAAAAGCAGCCCAATTTGTCTCCCTGCCAGACTCTTCCCACACTGAAGCCAAAGTAACATTTCAACATGCAGATTTAATACTGTCTCTTTCCTATTTAAAGTCCTTCAGTGGAAAGGTAAATAAGCGTCAAAAATATTAAAAGGGGATTCTTCACAATGGGTAGTGGGGTTGCGGGTGATTTCTAATGTTCTTTTTTGTATTTTTCCACACCAAAACTGTTTTTAAAAACCCCACATAGTCCAAAAAAGAAAAAAAAGCCCTTTACCAGCTCCCTGTTTCTAGATGTGGCAGATTAAAGGTGGCCTAGGAGCTTTGACACTCCTTCCATTGAGAGATCGGCTTCAGCGCCCTTCCCTTTGGAACCGGGCTGGCTGAAGTCTTGTGTTTGACCAAGAGCATGTGGCAGGAATAAGTTCTGGGACTTCCGGGTTAGGTCATCAAAAGCCACGCAGATTTTGCCTGGCTCTCTCGGGATACTCTCTCCGGAAGCTCTGGGCCCTCGTGGAAGAAGTCTGGCATCTTGAGACGTCCGTCCTGTGAGCAAGGCCATCTGAATCCTTCAGGCCAGCCCATCCTCTGGCTCAGCACCACCCAGCGACCTCAGTGGATACCACATGGAACAGAAGGATCACGCAACCGAATTCTGCCAAAATTCCTGATCCGCAAAATCAGGAGGTGCCCTACTGCGACTGTTGCTTTAAGTGCTGGGTTAATTCGTTCGGTGGCGATCAATAACTAGAATTCCAGAAGACAAGAAAAGCTTGGTGGCAGGGCTGAGGTCCTCCCACATCTGGCTCCACCTGCGTTTCCCCTCCTCTCTCCCTTCCCCTCCTACTGAGCGCTCTGCTAATCTTGGACTTCTTATAGGTTCTTGAACCCGCTATGGTCTTTACTCTCCGTGCTTTTGTCCACGCTGGGCCTGTTTTTTTTTTTTTTTTTTTTTTAACAACAGCCTTATTGACGACTAATTGATACCAAAAAAAAAAAAATGACATGTTTAATGTATGTGCGTGTGTGGTAAGAAAGCTTAACATGAGATCTACCTTCTTAACAAATTTTTAGGTGCATAATATTTTAACACTAGACACAAGGCTGTACAGTAGATCTCTAGAATTTACTCATCTTTTAAAAAAGTTTTTATTTTGTATTGGAGTAGAGTTGATTGACAATGTTTTGTTTCATAAGAACTTACTTGTGTTGCATAACTGACCCTTTCTACCCATTGAAGGACATCTCCCCACGTGCCCCTCCCCCAGCCCCTCCCCGTTCTAGTCTCTGCTTCTAGGAGTTTGACAGTTTAGATTCCTCCTAGCAGTGGCATTTTACATGCTCAGTGAAATAAGCCAGTTTCAGAAGGACAAACCCAGATGATTCCACTTGCATGCTGGGCCTCTTTTCTCCTTTCTTCCATCTGCCTGGACTGCTCGTGCTAATGTACGTTGTACCCGCTTCGGTGGTGCTCGTGTACGCATCACATCTGTTCCCAGGTCCTCCTCTGCCGTTGGTCTGTGTATCAGTGCCTGTTGCTGCTGTATCAAATTACCACAAACTTAGTGTCTTAAGACGCTGCAAACTTATCAGGAGTCCTGGAAGTCAGAAGTCCTGGATGGGTCTCACCAGGCTAAAATCAAGGTGTTGGTAGGGCTGCCTTCCTTTCTGGAGGCTCCAGGGAAGAATTTGCTTCTTGCATTTCACGTTGTCTAGAAGTTACCCACGTTCCTTGACTCGGAGCCTTCTCCATCTTCAAAGCCGGCAATGGCTGGTCTAGTCTTTCTTACGTGGCATCTCTCTGACACCGGCTCCTCTGCGTTCCTCTTCTGTATTTAAGGACCCTTGTGAGTACATGAGGACCACTCATATAATCCAGGATAGTCTCCGTATCCTAAGGTCATCTGCAACCTTAACTCCGTGTGGAACCTTGACTCCCCTTTGCCATGTGATATAAAATATCATAGATTCTGGGGAGTAGAAGGTGGACATCTTTGGGGGCCATTATTCTGCTGACTACAGTCTGTGAGCTCTTGCAATACAGAGGCTGTGACCTTCTGCGTGACTCTCCTCCAAAGTAGGACAGGAGCCTGCTGCATCAGAGACACCCACGAATAGGTATTCCAGGATATGGACCTATAATAAAATAAATAAAAGGTGGGAGATTTGTCCGGAGCTTACACGCTAGAGCAAGGGTCAGCAAACTACGGTCTATCCTTTGTGAACAGCTCACAGGCTAAGAGTGATTTCCCCCTTTTTAAGTGGTTGAAAAAATCTGAATAATATTCTGTGAAATGTGAAAACCAGAGATTCCAGTTTAAGCACCCATAAATAACGTTTTCTGAAACGTAGCCATGCCCGTTCGTTCACGCATTATCTGTAGCCGTTTTGATGCTACGTTGGCAGAGTTGAGGAGTTGCAACAGAGACCATATGACTTCAAAGTCTAAAATAATTACCGTCTGACCCTTTACAGAAAAGAAAGAAAGCCAATCCTTGCTCTAGACCCATGTCATCCAATGTAACTTTCATGACAATGGAAATGTTCTCTATCTGTTGTTGTCCAATATGGTGGCCACCAGCCACCTGTGGCACTTGACATGAGGCTAGTGCCAGCGAAGGACTGACTTTTACACTTTATTTTAATTATAATTGATTTCAGTTTTAAGAGCCACCTGTGGCGACTGCATTGGACGGCTCAGCGCTCAGAGAAGAGGAGACAATAATGGGGATGAAGATGCCGATAGTTCAGGTGCCAGGAACCCTGCTAAGAGAACAAGGACGATGTTCTTCTAATGCCCATTTTACAGATGAGAAGACTGAAGCTAAGGAAAAGGAAGTGATCTGCCTAAGGTTACATGGCTTGTCAGTGTCAAAGGTAGAACCCAGGTAGGTTGACTGTGAAGTTGTCACTCTAACCACAAACCACCTCAGTAAGATGAGGCATGTACACATTGAATTATAACGTGGAATGTGCTGAGTGCCGTGAAATAAGGGAAAACAAGGCAGGGAACTACATGAGGGAAGAACATCTGACCAGGGAGGAAAGAGGCAACTTCATGGGTGCCAAACTCCTTAAGCTGAGCTTTGACATTTGGGCAGGATTTTGACTGATAGCTGTGTGCTTGTAGGCAGTGACCTACATCAGCGCGTGGCCTTGGGAAAGCAGAGGGCGCTAAGGGCCTGGAGGGCAGGGCCACTGTAAAACCCATGTCAGAACTTCGCTAGCCAAGGGCCACAGAAGTCTCTCGACAGGTGGGTGCACTTCCTCTTTTCTATCAATAACAGCCATGTAAATGACCTTGTCTCCCTTTCACTTTTTTTTTTTTAATAAATTTATTTATTTTTGGCTGTGTTGGGTCTTCGTTTCTGCGAGAGGGCTTTCTCTAGTTGCGGCGGCCACTCTTCATCGCGGTGCGGGGGCCTCTCACTGTCGCGGCCTCTCTTGTTGCGGAGCACAGGCTCCGGACGCGCAGGCTCAGTAGTTGTGGCTCACGGGCCCAGTTCCTCCGCGGCATGTGGGATCTTCCCAGACCGGGGCTCGAACCCATATCCCCTGCATTGGCAGGTGGACTCTCAACCACTGCGCCACCAGGGAAGCCCCCGTGTGTATTTTTCTGTCTCTCCCCCTAGGGACCAGGGACCATGTTTGGGACCCTTGTAAGGACGATCACAGTTCCTGGCAGGGTAGGTTCACATTAAACTGTCATTGAATGAGTGGTCAAGGCAAAGCATAGTAGAGACAAATATATATGCATTAGTTTGATGCAAATCTAAATAAAATGACCTAAAGTTCCAGCCGCATAATTTCAAAGCTGGAGTGAATCCTAAGCTCTGTTTATACTATTGCCACTTGGTGGTGCCAGGTTAGTTGGTGCCCAACAACACCCAGCAGCCTTCCTCAGGATCAGTCTTCAGGAATTTGTGCTTTGCCTAAAATGCTAACACCTTGTACTCCCAACTAGGGCCGAAGAGAGATGGGCGGTAGAGAAATAGAGAAGAGCAAGGGAATGCCAGGACAGGAACTCAGACTGTACCAAGGGGGTGGGAGGATAAGATGCGTCTGTAAGAACATGGGCCAGGAGGCCAGCTAGCTGCAAATCCAGAATCCCGAACTCCGTGCAGGGGGCAGGGATATCATGGGGGCAGGAGAGAGAGGAAGGAGATGGTTGAGGATATACGACCAATTCAGCAAGAAGGGATAAGA